TTTGTATCCCTTTTATGTCCGCACGTCCATGGACATGAAATGGACGACATATGTTTGACTTGGAATCAGTGGCTGGATATCTAAACGTCCATAGGAAGTTTGATCTTTTAGGTATTCATATTAAAGTTGGTTCTCATATTTAAAACCGTCTCAAGTATAGTATCTTAACACATACGAGTTTTTCGAACCCTTATTACACAAATGAGTCCATCATTAATTTCAAACACACGGCATTGCAACCGCATTGTAGACTTTGCACGTTAGATTTCTTAATGCAGCAGTCCTTTTTTATCATAGATAAGACAAAATCAACAGTGTAAATTTTTAAATCTAAAGAAACATTAAATGTAACAGATTGTTTCTTATAACAAATGTATTATACAATTTTCTCTGTAATAGCTTAATAAAATTGTTATTCACAATATAAAAATTCGTTTAAATAGTACAAGAATCTTGTTACTATTGCATATTAATTGTTAATACTAATAAAAGACGGATGTATCCTCTTATAGTTACACGTTGTATGTACAATGTTAAGCGCAATGAATGAAATGAATTTTAGTCTACAATTGGATAACTTATTATTTGTAATTTAAAAAATATTATAGCCTCGATATGTTCACATTACAATTTTCAACTGAAAATTATTTTGAGAACGCGTTCTTTTAAGAGGTAATACGACGCACGTGCGAGTCTTGAAATATTCTATAAGAATTTGACAAGAAAAAATATATATGGATAAATATAACTTTTCTAAAATGGCAAGTTTTAGCATTGCAGCCTCAAGAGCAAATAAAAGAAATTTTGTATATACATTTCCACCAATAAATACAACATATCTACATTTATCAGATATAAATATAATTTATTATGTTTAATTTTTACAATAGGTATATATAAAATACACATATATATTAATTACATAAATGTTATGTAACAATAAAATTAAATCTATGATATATGGCATTTTCATGACAATATATTGTATGTATATATGTGTATGTGTATAATATATATATATATATATATATATATATATATATATATATATACACGTTTAAAGAAATTATTTTTATTTATATAATTTACATTTTATTTATATACAGCTGTATAATTTATACAACTGTCTTTTTAGAACGCTTTTTGTTAGTATGTCATGAAATATATCACGAATAATATATAACGTATCGAACGTGTGCATTAATTACATATATTTTATGGCAATAAAACTATCTCTCTAAGCAACTTAAATACATAAAAAATTAATCTTAAATTGGTGTTATACTTTCTTTCATAATAATTCAAGCCTGCAAACTAATTTTTTTCTCAAAAGCTTAATATTCATGTATTATTTTTGTAACTAATATACTTAAGATATCACGTATTTATTTGTTATTACATGAAAAATAGGAACGTTTTAAAAAAATGTGAATAAAAGAAATTTAACATCTACTATTATTACATGCAACATTTTCCTCTTTATCTCATCTTTAAAAAGAACTATTATGTTCACACAATTAAAAGCTACGTATGTATATATATCTATAACAAAATTTGATTCTTTAATTCGTAGAATTTACATTCCTATTATATGTAACAATAACAATCAAAGAGGTTTCAAGTCAATCGTCAGTTCTACTATCCATTTCTGTAATAACTCCATTTTCAAGCGAGAAATCGTAATTGTAATTTTGATTTTCTAATCTTTCAACGAAAGACATTATTTCGCTAATCCGTAAACCATCTATCTCCAAGTCGTTGTTCATATTACTTTGCAATTGTTTACATAACTTAAATGGCACACCACTCAGATAATGTGGAGCATCCGCTTGCTGAATCAGTTTTGGTAAATTACCAGCTGACATTGCAGGGTTCATTGGTGTTCCACCGATGAAGGGGTACAATCCACTAGGATAAGAAATACCGTCGTCACTGACATTAGGTGGCAAAGAAGTTCTTCTTCTTTCAATTACTATGAAATCATCGCCTGGATCTGCGGGAGGCCGGTCCTCTTGCTCATCCCTGGATTCTGGAGGTGAATCCTTGTGCTTTTTTTTGCCAAATAGCCAAGACATCTTCTGCAATATATTTTCACCTAAAAATTTGTCTAGATTCTTTGTTGTAAATAGGCCCTCAATTGTGTATCTCGAAATAAGGTGAAAATTACAGAAGCGAGCAAATTTGCTAGAATATTTTGAATTTCATTAATCAATCTAGTGAAATTATCTAGTGAATTTGCTCACATTTTTGTAATTTTCACCTCGTTTAAAAAATGCACAATCGACTGCTGGATAATTTATGACATGCTTAAAATTAGACATATCCATTTGTAAATAACATATCTAGTGTAAAGTCAACTAATAACACAAGTTTCCAACAAAAAAAGTCAAAGCTATTCTATCAACAACAAATGAAAATTGAGTCATTCTAACAACTAGAACAAGTATAGGTTAATCTATTGTAAAGTAAGCTATTACACAGTATACAATAACTTACTAGAACAAAAAAACAGCAAAGATTAACACACAGAAAATATTTTGTTTACAACATACTGTCATAGAATTATAAATATTTCTCAAATACTCCATTTTTAACTTTTATAGGCGGACTATCTTTTCTCAACTATAAATTCTAACCTCTGGTATACATATAAAACAACATATAAAAATTATAATTCATAGATTTATCAACTGTCGACAGATTAAACAAGCTCGAGCTGTCGACACAGTTGTAATGGGGAAAAGTTACGAATCGTTAAGAAAATTACGTATACGCGATAAGATGTGCGCAAGGGAAAACTACAGGATTTACTCACGTGCAGGCAGGTTAAAAATTAAAGAAAAGAGGGGCTTATCACATTCAACGAACGGTCTATGCTACAAACTGACCATCCTGTTAGGTATCGATTTTGTCAATTTTTTTCTTGAGACTGATAAATTTGTGCTCAAAATGCAAGTGAATACAAAAGAAATCACTGTAGACTGTTATTACACCTCGACACTTGACAGTTGACGTCGTCGGTCGATATGCGTCGATGTATTCGATGTCAAAACGAGCACTAGGGTGCGTTTCCACTGAGCGCGTCACGCGCGCGTTATCCGAATTGACCAATCAAAACATCCCATTTTATTGCGTAATTTGCCATGCAATCCTGGATTTCATACAAAAAAAGATTATTTTATCTCTAGAATGTTGAGTAACCTAATCGATGCGTCGCACAAGGAGTCGCGCGGCAAATGATGCAATAAAATAAGATATTTTGATCGATTAATCGTACCCTAAGGGTGCGTTCCCACTAACCGCGTCACTCTAAGGGCGAATTCACACCTTGACAGAACAACGGAAAACAGAAAAGCAGAAGCCAATCAGAACTCATGCTGGTAGTAAGAGAAGCAGAAAGCAGAAACTGTCGGCTACCAGCGCGAATTCTGATTGGTTTCTGCTTTTCTGTTTTCCGCTTTTCTGTCAAGGTGTGAATTCGCCCTAAGGGTGTGTTCCAACCAACGACATATATATATAGACCAAGCATTCTGTCCACAGCATGAAGCCGAAAGTTGGCAGAATACGACTGAGAGAGATAGCATTTGCGGGGAATGCTGTCTCATTTTATCTTATAGTAAGATTGGTAAGATGGCCGATGTCAACAGCTGTCAATTGACACCAGCGTCATCTTACAGTAAGATAAAAGAGAGAGCATTCCCCTCAAATCGCACTATCTCTCTCAGTCGTATTCTGCCAACTTTCGGCTTCACCTCCTCCACATCAAAAGCATAGGAATGCTCGGTCTATTATATATGTCGTTGGTTCCAACTGAGCACATCACGCGCGCGTCATCGGAATTGACCAATCAAAACATTTCATTTTATTGCGTAATTTGCCGCGCGAATTGGGATTTTATACAAAGGAAAAGTCTTTTATCTCTAGAATGTCGAGTAAGTTCTGAAACACAATAAATGTCGTAAGCCTTAAAAAATGGACCAATCGCAATTGAACGTAAAGAGAATAATCGATTATGATTGGTCAATTTCTTACGGCTTAAGACTTACTACATCTATTGTATTTTGGGACTAAGGGTGCGTTCCTACTTCACGAGCGCGACACACTTTACATTATCCGTTGCGTCACAATTAATCAATCAAAATATATTATTTTATTGCATTATTTGCCGCGCGACTCCTTGCGCGACACATCGATTAAGTTACTCGACATTTTAGAGATAAAAAAAATCTTCCTTTGTATAAAATCCTATATCGCGCGGCAAATTATGTAATAAAATGGGATGTTTTGATTGATCAATTTGGAAGACGCGACGCGTGACGCGCTCAGTGGAAACACATCCTTAGGGTGGGAACACACCATAATAAAGGTCCATCTACAATGAGAGTAGTAAATCATAAGCCGTAAGAAATTGACCAATCACAGTCGAATATGAGAAGAATAATCGACTGTGATTGGTTAATTTCTTACGTCTTACGACTTACTAATCTGATAAGATTACACGATAATTTCCATTAAAAATGTACTAAAAATGGCGTCGAATGGCCAATCATAAGATTAATTTATTCGGCAGCCATTTATAATACCGATAAATCAATCTTATGATTGGCCATTTGCGAGTCCAATCAGGACTCGTAACACCGGTCGCGCTTCTCGGATAATCTAGGACTCTACTGCTCGCGAGTGCTGACGGAAGTTCCCGAGCGCCAACGAAATGTACCGACGAGCCACGCGCCACGCGCGTAGCGTAGGTGTGGCTGATCGGGATTCGTGCTCGGTAATCGGTATCTTGTCCCGCAAGAGACGTGGAGATCCGCCGTTTCCCTCCTACGCGTCTCTTCGTTGCGAATCGAGGAAAAGAGGCGACAACCGATAGGGCCGTGCCATTCGTTGCGTTTTTCCGTTTCCGACAGACGGACGGCACGGACGCATGCGTGCTTCCGCGAATGCCACTATTACTGTATGCATATATAAAGCGTGTGTGTATGCGTGTTCTCCTTCGACGCTTTCATGTCGCGCGCGGCCAGTCGCGTAGTTCGGTAAAGCGCGTCAAGGTAGCAGCGCGATCGCATTGTTTTTGTGTCTCGTCGTGTTTGCTCAGCACGTATGTATATACCATCATACGCACGCATCGCGATCCGAGGCGCACCGTGTGCGATTAAACGCGTATCGGTCGAGTCGCGAGTCTCTTTCGCGGTTTTCGTTTTCGCGTCCTCTCAGTAGTCGCGGCTGGTGTTCACTTGGCCCTTGGCGGAAAAAAGCATAATTCTCGTTAGGGACGACGGCACCGCAATATATAGGTGTGGCGGGTAAGTACGATCTGTTTCGTTATTTAGATATCACGTATATATGTGTGCGCGTCGCACGCTGTCACGCTCATGTGTATACGGTTTGTCAATGGAATACCGAGCTTTTGCGAAACACTCGACGAATCTACCGTGAGCTCGCGATTCGCGATCGATCGTTCGAATTCTCGCAAACGCGTGTCTTAATGTCGCGGAATAAAACACTCTGCCAGTCGCGATGGCACGTCGATGTTAAATCGCGACAGCAGTGTAATAATAATCTTTCACGCGCGGGCATTCTGCGAAGAGTGAGAATGTTGGTAGATTCGACGAACATTAATTTTCGAACGCGGCACTACGTACATCAAATCGGTACGGTATTTAAATCCTCGGCCGTGAGAAGAAATTCCGTCTCGAATTGTACTCGTCATGTTGAAATTTTCGTTCGATGGAATTGTACAAGGGTCGGGCGTGAAATTGCGTTGTAATGAGAGTCTCGTTCCATCGATATTTAGCGTGACGTATTATTCTTCGCTCGCTTCTCGAGATAATCTTTCGCAAGCATCCATGAAGCACCTGACCTGACCTTTTACGAGTATACATATAAACAAAAGCGTTGCGCTCCATGGAGTCCATGTAGGGTCGGTGATTATGATTTTGAAATATACAGGTTTCGGGAGGCCAAATATTTGCGAAAATAAAGTGATATTCCTGTTAAATAATAATTTTAATTGAAGTATCTATTGGAACAAGATTAAATAGGGAGAAATAAGAAATATTCTACATTGCATGCTGAATTTTGTATTATATTGTTGTGATGTAAGGTATAGTATATATCTATCATAAAAAATATATGTTTATACATATAAATATTATACAGGTTTCGGGAGGCCAAATATTTGCGAAAATAAAGTGATATTCCTGTTAAATAATAATTTTAATTGAAATATCTATTGGAACAAGATTAAATAGAGAGAAATAAGAAATATTCTACATTGCATGCTGAATTTTGTATTATATTGTTGTGATGTAAGGTATAGTATATATCTATCATAAAAAATATATGTTTATACATATAAAATACGAGTATTCTTGTATTCCATTTTACAAGGTCGGAACGAACATAATTTTTTAATTAATAAAAAGCGATAACATAGTAGACATTAAAAATGTTTGTAAGAATAGGGGCTGTGCGTGTGCGTGCGTATACGCGCGCGCGCGCGCGCGTGTTTGTGAATTAAACTGCATTATTAGTAGAAATTTTATTCGACATTAATCTAGTGAAAAAAAACTTGGCATAGTTTTAGTTAAAAGAGAAATATAAATATCAAACTTGTACCGTTACTCTTCTATCTTTTATTTATTTAAAAAAGATGTACCGCTTTAAATACATCACTTTGATTTATTATTTAAAAAAATTTAATTTGTAACGTTTTTATGTAAATCTGACAAGACCTATGGCATTTAACAGACAAGATAAAGCTATAAAACAAATTCGAAATTTGAAGTGAACAATTGTAAGGAGTACAACAAAAATGGATGTAAAAAGAAGAGAAGAAGCAAAGCAAAAATGTAAATAGATTTATATATATAATACGTTATTACTAATTTATAATATTACATATACAGAGTGTCCCATTTTATATTTGACAGTCAAATATTTGGAAATCGCGAAGTTTGAGAGAAAAATGTTTCAGACAAAAGTTGTAGGGTTTTGAGGGTGACATAAGATGATAACATTGGTTTGACCCTGAGTGGCGTCGTCAAGGTCAGGACAAGGTCACTTTGAATTTTTTAAATGGAACCTCCCATTTTTCATTACATATTTTTGTAGCTTAATTCGAGAGCTTTCCAAAACACATAGATTAAATGTTTTTTGGTTAAGTAAATTTCGAGATATGAGCTTGAAAGTTACAGTATCGTCGACATTAGCATTATCCAAAATGTCCGAACAATGGCTGAAACTTTTTGAATGTTGTTCAAAATCATGAGTTTGACAACATGTATCAAGGCCATGATCATTGGAGATTGTTTCTCTTATTTTCATTTTTGAAAATTATTTTTATTTTTTGAAAAAAAAAGAGAAACATTCTCCAATAATCATGACTTTGACACATGTTGTCAAGCTCATGATCCTGAACAATATTCAAAAGATTTCAGCCATTGTTCGGATACCTTAGATAATGCTAATGCCGGTGGTACTGTAACTTTCAAGCTTTATAACTTTATAACTCGAGATTTACTTAACCAAAAAACATTATATCTATGTGTTTTGGAAAGCTCTTGAAATGAGCTACAAGAATATGTAACAAAAAATGGGGGATTCCATTTAAAAAATTCAAAGTAATCTTGTCCTGACCTTGACGACGCCACTCAAGGTCAAACCAATGTTATCATCTTATGTCCCCCTCGAAGTCCCAAAACTTTTGTTTGAAACATTTTTCTCTCAAATCTCGCGATTTGAGTACTTTGAATATGCTAATGCCGGTGGTACTGTAACTTTCAAGCTCTATAACTCGAAATTTACTTAACCAAAAAACATTTTATCTATGTGTTTTGGAAAGCTCTCGAAATAAGCTACAAGAATATGCAATGAAAAATGGGGATTCCATTTAAAAAATTCATAGTGACCTTGTCCTGACCTTGATGACGCCACTCGGGGTCAAACCAATTTTATCATCTTATGTCCCCCTCGAAGCCCCAAAACTTTTGTCTGAAACATTTTTCTCTAAATGCACTGTTCAAGAGATATTTGAG